CGAATTGTATACATAGACCATGTTTGGCAACTTTGTATTTATTGTCCATTTGGCTTATAATCAATTTGTGGATCATAAGCAAGTCGATTATAAGCAAAAGTGTTTCGTAAATTTAGTGGATTATAATCATTATTTCTCTAAGTATAAATGTATCTATGCGAAATTCTTGTTTTTATTAGTTTGGGAGATCTTATCAACAAATGCTGCTATGTAAAACATGCTGTTGCATACTCAACTCTTTAATTGATTTATTGTTGGTAACTACATGTTGTTTAGCACTTGACACTTTTTAAGAAATGACCTTTTTGAAGATATTGCTAGCAAGGTTAAGGAACTTCCTGCTGCCCAATTTATTAATACTTTTAGTTTATGTTGTTATTCCAGGTAGGGAGAGAACTTATTGACTCTAAACATGAACTATACTATTAGTACTAGGCAGGATGATTATTCACTATGATCGACATTGACCACATGCTTGTTTCCTATATTTACAATACACACACTAGGTCCAATGTCTTGATAGTTCTGGATATTGCACTTAATGTCCTTTAGTAGTTATTGAATCCAAATGCATGAAAAACTTTATAATCCCTCAAAAGTTTTTTCAATCTTTTTTTTTTTGGCATTTTAAACCATTTTTTGCTTAGGTTCTGTTGTTTCTGCATGTGTTGGTGTTGTGCGCCACGGAAGCCCAAAACGACAATACAAAAGCACACACAAGAACAATAGTAGACCACAAATGAACACAAGCCAATCAATCACGACAAGAACACAAGATATACGTGGTTCGGCAATGTGTCTACGTCCACGGGGCAAGGAGGGAGGAGTTTCACTAATAGAAATCAAAGGGAATACAAATTAGGGTTACAAATCTTACCCAAAACCCTCAAATAAGATCACTTGATCTCTCCAATAGACTCCAACAATAGAAGTCCTAGAAATCCCCTTTCAGCAGCTCAAATCCTCCAAAACTTAACCCTAGAAACGAGTTCGGAGTTTATATACAACTCTCAAACGAAACGGGTCTGGAAACAGAACCCAGACTCAACCCGCTTCGGCGGTCGACCGCCACGGTCGATCGCGATCCATCGCGGTCGACCGTCGCGGTCGACTGCAGCAGCAGCCCAAATGTCCAGAGACTTCTGCGGTCGACCGCGACGGTCGACCGCCCACAGAACAGAAACTTCTGCGGTCGACCGCTGCGGTCGACCGTCACCAATCCTGACGCCTAGTAAGCCTCGTGCACGAACACGGTCGACCTCCAAAGTGTCTGCCCGAAACCCCGAAACCTGAGCCTGAAAACTACCAATCCTACAAATCTCCACCTCGGCGAACGTTTTGTCAAAACTGAGCCGACACCAAAAACACCCCCCCAATCAATCTCAACTCATACAACCGGCTGCATCTGCAAGACTGCCTACGTATCCTCTTGTCCAATGAATCAAGCCGAACGTAGTTCATCCAAATGGCCGCCAACGGCCTCAACAACGAAGAATGTTCAATAAATTCAAACAATGACCAAACTTCACACCTGATACAACTTTGGTCAACATATCAGCAGGGTTGTCCTTAGTGTGGACCTTCTCCAACGTGACATCGCCATCATCCAAAACGTCACGTACAAAATGAAATTTTACATCAATGTGCTTCGTGCGTGCATGGTAGACTTGGTTCTTCGCCAAATAGATAGCTGACATACTATCACAATATACCTGAATGGTCTCCTGTGCAATCCCCAAATCATCCAACAAGCCATGTAGCCACAAAGCCTCCTTCACTACTTCAGTCACCGCCATATATTCCGCCTCCGTAGTAGAAAGCGCCACTGTAGACTGAAAAGTGCATCTCCAACACACCGGTGCACTAGCCAATGTAAAAACATAACCTGTAGTGGACCGACGCTTGTCAAGATCTCCGGCATAGTCTGAATCCACATAGCCAATACAATCCTGCCCTGTCTCATCATTCTTCACAAATATCAACCCAACATCTACGGTACCCTTAATATACCGTAGAATCCACTTCACGGCCTCCCAATGCCCCTTCCCGGGGTTGTGCATGTACCTAGATACCATGCTCACGGCCTGTGATAAATCTGGCCTCGTACACACCATAGCATACATCAAGCTACCCACTGCACTGGCATATGAAACTTTGGACATGTAGTCCCGATCCTTCACTGAAACTGGTGACATCAAAGCTGAAAGCTTAAAGTGGAGAGCTAATGGAGTACTCACCACCTTGGTATTACCCTCAAAATTGAATTTCTTCAGTATCTTCTGCAAGTAACTCCTCTGTGTAAGCTTCAATCTCCCCTTCACTCTGTCTCTCTCAATCTCCATACCCAGTATCTTCTTAGCCTCTCCCAGGTCCTTCATTTCAAATTCAGATAACAGCTCCTTTTTTAATTTCCCAATAGCTAAAGTGTTCCTGGAAGCTATGAGCATATCATCAACATACAATAACAAATAAATATGCTCACCATCCTGTAGCTTGCGCATATAATAAACACACGGGTCATATGGGCTTCTCGTGTACCCTTGGCCAACATAAAGCTATCAAATCTCTTATACCACTGTCGCGGTGATTGCTTCAGTTCATAAAGAGATTTCTTCAATTTGCACACCAAATTTTCCCTTCCTGCAGTTTTAAACCCCAAAGGTTGTGTCATGTAGATCTCCTCGTCTAAGTCTCCATGTAGAAAGGCCGTCTTCACGTCCATTTAGATCAAATCTAAGTCCAGCTGTGCCACCAATGCTAATAGAATCTGAATAGACGAATGCTTCACAACGGGTGAAAATACCTCGTTATAATCAATGCCCTCAAGCTGTGCATATCCCTTGGCAACCAATCTGGCCTTGAACCGAATGTCCCCAATAGAAGATCCCTCCTTCTTAGCATACACCCACTTGCAACCAATAGCTTTCTTACCCTTAGGTAGCTTTGTAAGTTTTCAAGTGTCATTCTTCTGAAGAGATTGCATCTCCTCCTCCATAGCATTCCTTCACCTAATAGAATCAGGGCTGGACTCTGTCTCCCTGAATGTGGCAGGAATCAAATCATCAACGACCTCCACAGATAAAGCATATGCCACCATGACATCATCATATCTAGCTGACCGACGAATCTCTCTCCTCGGTCTATCTGCTGCAATGGACCCCTGAGCATGACCCTGCTCCTGAGCCTCACCATCCACTGTATCCTCTAAATGCCCGACTGTCATCTCAACTCCTTCCAGTGCCACCTCTGTAGGAGTCTCAATGGACACAGTGCTGACTGGAGTGGGTGGAGTCATATCATCCTCCACTTGCTGTGATATCCCTCCTGTCTGATCTTCCTCCACCTGCTGAGGAACTCAAGGCTTCATCATGTACGCCTCATCAAATGTGACATCTCTGCTAATGACCATCTTCTTGTCTTGTGGATCCCATAATTTAAAGCCTTTGACACCTTCTCTAAATCCCACAAAGATAGCCTTCCTTGCTCTCGTATTCAACTTCTCATCACTAACATGGAAATAAGTTGGACACCCAAATATCCGAAGAGCTCATAATCACTAGTCACAAAACCAGACCAACGCTCCATAGGAGTCTTCCCCTCTATCGCAGTGCACGGCAACCTGTTAACGAGATGGCTCGCATAAACTAACGCCTCGGCCCAAAAGGATCTAGCCAATCCATTCTGCGTCATCATACATCGCACCTTCTCCAGCAAGGTATGGTTCAGCCTCTCTGCCATCCCATTCTGTTGCGGTGTCTCTCTAACTGTGAAGTGTCTTCTAATACCGTGATCCCGACAAAACTGCAGAAATGGATCACTCTTATACTCTTCATCATTGTCTGAACGAAGAGTCTTCACCTTTCTACCTGTCTGCAGCTCCACTTTCTTCTTTCACTTCACAAATATATCCAGGACCTCATGTTTATGCTTCATGGTATATACCCAATTCCTCCTGGAATAGTCATCAATGAAAGTGATAAAATAATTTATCCCACCAAGCGATGTGTGCTTAGAAGGACCCCAAACATCTGTGTGAATGTAGTCTAATATACCTTGGGTGTTGTGAATTGCGGTGCTAAACTTCACTTTAGTCTTCTTCCCAAGTATGCAATGCTCACACAGCACCATCTTGCAGGTCTTTGCACCTTTTAATAGCCCCTGTTTTGCCAATGACTGTAGAGACTTATCACCTGTGTGTCCAAGCCTCATGTGCCATAGTGTGGTAGTGTCCTCCTCTGTGGTGATAGAAGTAGCCAGACCCCCTGTAACTGTCTTGCCCTTCAAGTAGTATAGGTTATTTTTCCTGACACCTCGCATCACCACCATGGATCCCTTCATGACCTTCAAAGTAGCATCCTCTAAGATCACTCTATAACCAGCTGCCTCCAAAGTCCCAAGAGCCCGTCATGCATTCTGATTCTGACTGAGCCAATCCCGCTAATAGGACAAACGTGATCGTTCCCCATGAGCACCACGTCCCCTCTCTCCAACTCCTCAAAGTTGGTAAATCAATCCTTCTTAGGGCAAATGTGAAATGTAGCTTCCGAATTAAGCATCCACTCCGTAGAGTCGGCATAACAAACTGATGGCAGTGCGGGACAAGAATAACCGGAAGAATCCGAATCTGAAGTGTCGCCAACAATCTTAGCAACATTCACCTCTGAAGCTTGTACAGCTTTCCCCCTTTGCTTTCCGGCTCTATCCTTCAACTTTGGGCACTCATTCTTCCAATGTCCTTCTTCTTTGCAAAAGACACATTGATTTCTACCAACACTTTTATGGCCACCCCTATTCTTTGATTTTGAGCGGTTGAACCTTTGACGGTTTAGACTACGACCACGAACTGCTAATGCATCACCCGATGCCTTCTCGAAGGGCTCACTATCATTTTTCCTCAGCTCATAATTTACCAATGCCGAGGTCACATCCTTGTAGCTTACTGTAGTTCGCCCATTTATCATAGTGAGAACAAAAGTACTAAACTCATCATCCGACAACGAACACAATAGTAACATCGCCTTGTCTTCATCCTCCACCATGATATCTACATTGACCATATCCGAAATTAGCTTTGTGAAGTTGTTAACATGCTTCCGAATGGAAACTCCCCTCTTCATCTTGAATTGGTAGAATCTCTTCTTCAAGTAAAGCCGATTCTCAATGCTCTTCGTCAAATATTTTTCATTGAGCGTTTCCCACAATCCTTCAAGTAAAGCCGATTCTCAATGCTCTTCGTCAAATATTTTTCATTGAGCGTTTCCCACAATCTCTTCGCCGAAGTCTCGTTCATCACATCATAAATTCGTCAAATATTTTTCATTGAGCGTTTCCCACAATCTCTTCGCCGAAGTCTCGTTCATCACATCATAAATGAGATCCGGCGTTAAGCATGACCAAATAACCCCACAAGCCCTACTGTGCATTTTCTTCCAAACCCTATCCTCAATCTCCTCGGGTTTCTCTTAAAACTCAAGAGTCTCCTCCAAATTTTGTGCATCTAAGGCGTCCATTACTTGACACCTCCATAAACCGAAGTTAATCTTGCCGTCAAACTTTGGGACATCAATTTTAGTATTATTGATGCTCAAATTTTGGATCGCCTTTGTCAAAACCTACCCCAATGTACTAGTAGCACTTAAACTAGTCCTGCTTGTATCACCCATATTGTAAATCTACTCTTCAAACAATAACCCAACAGTGAATCCTTCGAACAAAACTCCCAAATCCAACCCAGAGTTCTGATACCACTTGTTGTGTGTCGCGGAAGCCCAAAACAACAATACAAAAGCACACACAAGAACAATAGTAGACCACAAATGAACACAAGCCAACCAATCACAGCAAGAACACAAGATATACGTGGTTCGGCAATGTGCCTACGTCCACGGGGCAAGGAGGGGGGAGTTTCATTAATAGAAATCAAAGGGAATACAAATTAGGATTACAAATCTTACCCAAAACCCTTAAACAAGACCACTTGATCTCTCCAATAGACTCCAACAATAGAAGCCCTAGAAATCCCCTTTCAGCAGCTCAAATCCTCCAAAACTTAACCCTAGAAACGAGTTCAGGGTTTATATACAACTCTCAAACAAAACGGGTCTGGAAACATAACCCAGACTCAACCCGCTTCGGCGGTCCCAACAGCAGCTCCAAATGTCCAGAGACTTCTGCGGTCGACCGCGACGGTCGACCGCTCACAGAACAGAAACTTCTGCGGTCGACTGCCACCAATCCTGACGCCCAGTAAGCCTCGTGCACGAACACGGTCGACCGCAACGGTCGACCGCCAAACTGTCTGCCCGAAACCCCGAAACCTGAGCCTGAAAACTACCAATCTGCTGCCAATCCTACAGTTGGTTCTTCCTTTCTTTTTCCCTGAGAAGTGATAGTTTTGGGATATGCTGAGGGTGTGCATTTTCAACCACAGTCAAGGTGCATGTTGCTAGCACTTAATACAAAGGCCAAACATTTTTCTGTTGCTGGTATCCTGTCCTAACCCACACATTCTGTATCCTCTTTTCCACGTGAGTACTTCAAGCATCTTTAATCACCTCAGCGTTGATGCAAACTGTGTTACATGTGCATGAAGGATGGAACTGTAACAATATGGATCTTACCTTGTCATTGTTTTCAAACTTTATTCTACATGGTAGAAAGATGTATATGATTGAGAGAAAGATGTTGTACTCAACTAAAAAGGAGTCTGCATTACCATTACTTTGGGTCTCTATTGCGGTTCAGGCTTAGTTTACATCCTTCTAAGCATATCTAGGTAACTGCTGATTTTTGAGTTCTAACCATCCATCGAAACCATATGAAGCTGGCAGCCCCATCGGCCTGAAAGTGAAACACACCTTGCCTTTATGTAGAGCATGGCTCAGTGCTTGTCACTGTTGCCGTATGCTTCACATTGTTGCTGTACTGTTTATTTTATTTGTGAGGCCAATTAAATTTTGCAGGACCTTCTTCTTGATTATGTACATCATGTGATGCGCAGACTCTGAACAATATTGGGTTGGTTTTTTCTTGCAGGAATCAAATTAAGGGCAGTGTCACATTATCCTACCCATGTTTTAAGTGCAGTGCCACTTTTTCTCCTACCCTCGAAGAAAGAAAATGTGAGGAGGATTTGTTTAGAATTTATGGGAATAAACATATTTTACTTACATTTATCCTTCTTTTGTCTTCTGTCGTGAGCAGTCGTGAAGGATAATGTGTGATCAACTATGAGCTCCCATCATGCCTCTGCTGAACAAGTACGACAAAACAATGAGTTTGTGTGAAAAAAATGGGGTCTGAATCACTGCTTTTGACTATTCAAAGTCGCGATGAAGTGAGACTAAGTCTTGAAATTCCAAATTTGGATCCTACGTCAGATGGATAAATGGGTACTGGCTGTTGGTGAAATTCTCCTCAAACCAGCAAGTATGAACAATCTTAGCCTTTCTTTCAGCGACTGTGGGCCCATTTCGGTATATTTGTTATTGCTGACTCGAGAAGAGAGTACCGGTTCAGTCGCTCTTACGTTTTGCCTGTGGTGTCTTCGCCGTCTTCTGCATATACTCTTTATGTCATGTTCTAATGGCAAAAAGATCCTATGTGTTTGGCTCAATGTAGCAGTTAAAAGCATTTTTTATTGAGGTTTGTAACCATAGATGAGTCATGAGACCCCAGCATGAACTAAAATTGCTCTCCTTGTTGGAAATGCGTTTTGCCCTTATGTGCCGTAAAATTATTTAATCGAGCTTGTGGCAATAGATGAACTTTGCATGCAGATGATAAATCACTGGTACAGGATTAGGACACTGTAAATTGTTTGTCAAAGAAAATAATGATTCTTTTGAGATGGGGGTGGATTTCATTACCTTTTAACTCCCTCAAGCAGGGATTTACTTATGTTTTTACATGCACAGGCCGAGGACAGATTTTGGAAAGGTTGATGATAGGGATGATAGTGCAAACTGTAAACTTTAAGTCAATACTTTTGATTATCTTAAATATTTGTTCTTGGTGCTAGTAAAATAACTAGGGCCCCTTGGGCTGTTGTTGGTAAACTTGTGTATTTATGACACAACTTGAAAAAGTTAATGTCCATCAAATCATTTTGGAAAGTTGATGAAGAGGGATGCTATTTCTCTTGCATGGACGATGTTGATATTGGCGTACGAATACCATTATCATGACTAATACAGTAGGAGCAGCACCTACATTGTTCGTCCTACGCATAGTTTCGTTTCTGTCCATCTTTTTTATATATTGTAAGAAACTAATTAGGTTTTAAAAGCAAGAACTACCGTACAAGTAATAAATTGAATTCTAAGAAACCTATCAATTCACGTATCTCAAATAATTTGAGATGTTAAACGTAGTGTTTGAACTGTAGAGGAAACAGTTAAAACTCCAAATTAATGGTTCTCACTGTTTTATTATATTCCTGATTTATAAAATAAAATATGAAACTAGCGTCCAGCTAGCATTATTATTTGACCAAGCCTAAGAAAGATTAACGTCAACTTTAGGGTTGTGACTCTACCGGCCTGTTTGGGAGATCACTAATAGTCTGTTTGGAAGGAGGGTAGAGAAGGGAAGGGGAATGAAAATTTTAGTTTATCTTAGTTTGGGAGTTCCATTTAGAATGGTAGAGGAGGTGAATGAGGGAGAAAATTAAACTAAAATCTTAACCCTCAAATTGGAGGTAAAAAAAGGAAGAGAAATAAGTGAAAAAATTTTCCTTCCTTCCCTTACTTTAGTCATCTCCCGAACACACCATAAGAGAAGGGAAATGAATGTTAAAACTTTTTCTTCCCTTCCCTTCTCGATAAGACTCGATAAGATTTTAGTGCAAAATTTTCCTAATTCCCCCCCTTCTAGTTAAATCCAAACTTTTCTTCCCCTTCCCAACTCTGCCCTCCATCCACACACACACACCAGTATACATGTCCTCCCCACAACATTACAACGATTATCAAGGGGCCAACGTCTGTCATTGATTAATTTTCTAGTTTCATTATAATTTGCTTTACACAAATTTGATTAATCATCCTAGGAAATATTTATGGACGTGATTTGGAAAATGATAGGACAAGAGAAGCGTACATATCCTGATGCGTAGAGAAATCCACATCTGGTCCTAATTAAATAGACTGAGATGCAGTATGAAAAAGGGAAGAAACACCAATATGAGATGCAATTTAAAAAGAGTTGTTTGTAATTCTTTGTCTTTGATGCTTCGTGCTCTAGGTTCTTTGGGTCATGTGAGTGTATTCGTTGACGCCGGCGATCAAATTTTCAAGCGTAACATCGCTGTAAAACAGAATCCCACCAAAGTTTTTCAACCTCAAGCATAAGCTTTAATTCTCTTTTACCTCACAATCTACAATGCATAAACTCGAAACCCCAAATTCGTAAGAATTATGCACTTAGCCCCCAAAACGCAAAGCCCAAGAATTTTACACAGGTAAAGACTATAATACCCTTTATCTCTCTTATGGGTATTGATCACTTCCTCCCCCCTCCAGTGCTTCTCCCTGATGTCCCTGTCCCCGACCGTCGTCGTTCTTAGCGGCGTCCGTGAGCTCAAGACCGACGAGCGCCGGCTCTACCTCATCCACCTCCTCCCTCCTCAACTGCGCCAACCACATCGCCTCCTACTTCTCCGACGCCCTCAACCACAGCGCAACTCCGCAAGCACCGCGCCCTCACCTCCACCTCCACCTCCCCCGACCCCTCCCTCTCCCGTCGACACTTCCTCGACCTCTTCCCCTTCCTCCACTCCAACCAGGCCATCGTCGAGTCCATGGACGCGGAGAAGGTCGTTTTCATTGGTTTTGGGGGTTGGAAGCATTTTCCCTTCTTTTTTTCTTGTTGAATTGGCTCTACGTAGCCACGTCAGCATGCCTCGTCACGTTATCCTATTTACATGTTCAAAACTTACAAACAAACAGCCCCTGTGTAGACGGGCTTCCAACCAAGCAACCCTTAACTAGTCAATACGTGATGATGGGACCCAGTTATGTATGGAGTAAACAAACATTAACGGGTAACTCGCTAATTTTAATGAATTACCCTAGTAGCTAGGATCTTTCATCTAGTTCTAGTTTTGTTCAGAGGACTTCTACTGGGGATTTTTTTTTTTTTTATGCTACTGAAGGGTTCGTGATAGTGCATTTATATCACAAGTCTACTGGGGATTTTTTTTTTTTTTATGCTACTGAAGGGTTCGTGATAGTGCATTTATATCACAAGATCCAAACAACATAATTTGAACAGGTTAATGATGTTGTTAGTTTAAGATCGCTTCGATCTGTACGCAGCGATGGACCAAAGTCAGCCTCATTAATTGAAGGGTACATAAGTACTGTTACTCCATTGATTGGAATCCATCCATACTATATATATACTTGTATGATACCAATCTCAATTGAAAAAACTTGAACGTATTAATTGCAGAAGATGAAGGATCATAGTTTTGTTGATACTGAGCGGACAGACCCTTCTGCATTTGTTGCTATAGATCCGGGTAATTATAAGGTGACGGGCGTTTGTTAGTCCGTGATGAAAATTTCCTTAAGGATCCAAAATATGAGACCAATAGGGGGGACAAGTGAGGTGTCCCCCTCCTATTGGATAATGAGTTGGCCATCATTATCCAATAGGAGGGGGACACCTCACTTGTCCCCTCTATTGGTCCCATATGATTTGTTGTGCCTTTTACCGGTCGAACTTTTGACGATGACTGCTGAGCCTCCGGCGCCAATGGGAGAGGTAAAAAGATCAACCATTCATATTGTGATCATAATATTCCTTAATTTGGGGGGCCAAAAAAAAAACTCTCAAATATGGTCAAAAGGCTTTTCATCACCTCTCCCCTTCTTTTTCCCTTCACGAGCTTCATGTTCCTCTCACAATTTATCATAACGGTTTTCTACTTCTTTTTCCAACGAGCATTCTTCCACGAAAGCTGCTGAAGCTCTTATAATAACCGCCACTTTATTAATTAATTAAGCTTATCCATACAAACCTGCACTGAAATTAAGGAAGAGGAAAAGGCAAAATAAAAAAAGAGGGTAAAACAAATAGATGCTGACGAACTTGGTCTTCTGATTATATATATATAGTTTCATGCAAATCCCATGCACTTCGGCTTTACTAAGTTAACCTCCCCTCCCCTTTAATTCTTCTATAAATAGCAAGCTAAATTAATTGCGTCTCGACCCACTTCGATAAATCTCCAATTGCATCTAATCACATTTAAAAAACAAAGGGGTTTATCGATCTCAATGGAGGAGGAGGATGAGAGACAATTCCAGTGTTTGAGGAAGTATGAAGTTATTGCAAAACAGGTAGCTTGCTACCTTGAGAAGCTATTATTAGTCAAGGAATAATTACTCTCTAGCTACTATCTTAACGAGCTAGTTGTCTATAATTTAGTACTTTTTTGCTACATTTTCCTTTTTTTTTTTGTGGTAAGAAGAGGTAGAAGCGATGACTAGAGGGCACTTTTCAAACTACGTACTCTCCACTGCTACACCCAAAGATTGTGGGTCCTTAATTAATAACTCATCACTTTTTATTGCAATTCAATTATAAGGATGCCACATTTTCGTGTGTAGCAGTATACAAGTAGTTTAAAGAATGTGGTTAAGTTAGAATTATCATTCCTTGTGGTTGTGGGGACTGCGTGATTCGATCCAGGGTTGCTGGCGGGGGTTCCGAAGGAAAAAGGAAACATTCAAGGAGAACTTTATAGCCTGAATATATCATGCAAAGCGAGTGTATAGTAATATAGTATGTTATGATTGATGTCCAAATTTGATTATATTCTTCTTGCGTTAACCTCTTAATTTTCATCTTTTGGCTTTGTATAAAGATTGCCAGATCTCATAATGACTTTATTTTTTGTGCGTACTTTTCGGTTCGATGAGCTGATTTGTGTTGAGGATGCGAGAACACGACTACCAAAGAGGCGTAAGCTATCAACTGTGAGTGAATAATTTCTTGCTATGGAAATTTAGGTTTTCTTTATTTTTAATGCTTAAAAATAAGCTAGTCTTAAGGTTAAGCCTAGCTTAAATTTACGTTTTGTACAAAATGCTTTAAGTTAAGCTAGGCTAAAGATTTGGTTGTTTTTGTTAAAAAAACAGGCATATCATGCAAAGTGTCATAATTAACTTTGCGATTAACATTTTCTACGGCTTGTTTGGATTGGGGGTAATGTGAGTAAATGAAAGGTAGAGAATACATTACCCTTGTTTGGGAAGTCATTTGAGATAGTTATATGAGGGGGAAGTTAAGGTTAAAGTAATGGAGGGAAATAAAACTTATATTCTGTTTCCCTAAAATTGGGGTGTAATGGAGGGGAAGGTAGGGGAATGTAACTCTTAAAATAAGAGAATATTACACAATGATAAGTTTATCCCCATATCAAAATGAGATTCAAAGGGATGATATAACAAGTAAGGTATTTATGCAAATTTACATATATTTCCTTACATTCCCTGCACCTTATTAGAGTTCTCAAACATGGTGAAATAAGTTCTCTTTGATTCCCCTTACTAATTTATCAAATAAGTTTTATTTATTCACTTACATTCCCTCAACTTAACTTTTCTTATATTAACTTAACTGCCCTTCACTAGATAGGTGCAAATCCAAACAAGCCCTAAATAAAACATGCTCTTGCATTTTATACTGGCTGTTTGGTTGGTTTCCTAAAAACCAAGAAAAGGAAATCGGTACAA